GCCTGGCGCCGCTGCAGGTTCTGACCCGGGTCCCGGCCGCCTCCGCCGCGACTCGGTGACGGACTACCACACATCTTATTCACCCGCCGTCCCACCCGGTTAGCTGCCATGTGGACCCAACAGGCACGGACTCAGACGGTCCGCCTCAGGGGGCTCTGATCAAGTCCGAACACAAATCCCCGAATACGAGAAAAAGGTCCAAGAGTCTGGTTTATGCAGCGCTCACCGTTTTAACTGAAGATACACAAACAAAAAAGAAATAAGGACAGTTTCTGTGCGACTGTTAATCATTATTGTATTATTCTATTAATACTAATAAAATCCGTAATAAAACCCCAAAGCGTGTCGCTTCTTTAAAAACGTGACTCTACAGCAAAGATAAGAACAAAATCAACGAATCGCCGAGTGAGTGAAAAACCAGCAAAACGAGAAGATAGAAGAAAAACGGTCCCAACGCAGAACCGAGCCCGTCGGTGCGGCGCGTGCACACAGAGAAAAGGGACGCCGATGCTGCGTTCAAGTAATATCGGACTTTATCATTGCACACGGAGACTGGGACAGATTAACCTGTGATTTAAATCATAAAACATGAATGTGTCCGAGCTTAGTGAGAAATTACCTTCACAGGCAGACCTGGTTTGGAGCGGTTCTGCCGCAGAAACTGCGACTTACGCCTCAACCTTATTACACAGCGCAAGAAACAAGAAACTAGCTGGCAGCTGTAAAGTCAAGTTTAAGAGGAGACTGTAAACGCAGCATGAGAGGACTCCGCGGGGTCCTAGTGCTCCTGGGCACACACCTGATAGCAGCAGCGTCACCTGGTGGAGAGCAGGAAAAGGGTTTAAAGTGCCCATGGGCCATGGCTGCTCATTTTGCTCATTTACAGCCATTTAATATTTAATCTTGGCTACCTCTAGATTAGCTTTACACCCCTCATGATACCAAATAGTCTGCAACTATTTCAGAATGATAAAACCAAAAAGCCTCTTGTAATACCCCAGTTCTTTTATTGGACTGATCTGAATAATGAAGGAGTCCGTCTTTCTTGATTTTAGTGCTGATTTATTTAAACCACAAGCAAAGTTACAAAACACAACCCGGGTGGCTCCTTCCTCCAGAGACACACACACTCTGGCTGCTGGAGAGAGGAGATCCCGGAAACACGGAGCCCAATACATTTATAAGTTTTTGGGCTAATCCCTTACACAAAAAGATTATAAAACATCATGTGATGGAGACAATGTGGAGGACGTCTCCTTCTCTTATCTTATGCTCCACATGCTTCAAGCACTAGTATAACTAAAATGACGTGTATGTGTGTTGTCACGTGGTGCGTAACTAAAACATTCATTCAGACATAATTCTAACACAGGATGACTACAAGAAAACATTTGGTGTCAGGGTACCTGTAGCTCACATTTCAGAATCAACACAATCTTCTAACCTTGAAACAGGGCAGACTCTGAATCTTACTAAACTGCATTACTAACACATTGTCTAATAATTATCTGACTGATTTACTAATATCTAACACTCTTCCTAAAAACAAGAGGGTAGTTTGTGAACGCGCACAACTCCTGCTGCCATTGTTGAGTGGACAACAGTTGTGCACAACGGCATCAATTAATGCGAATGTCTCTTCCATCAATAGGTAAACAACGGTATATGTACTGATGAAATGAGATGTGCAACACCCTAAACAAAGCCAGTAACTGAGAAAGCCCATGTTTTAACTGTCATAATGCAGACATAGTAACTTCTCCAGCCTTACAACAATTCTAACGTTACAGAAACAAGGCATTAACAGACACACAACGTGTGTTTGTTAAACTTGGAGCCGAGCAAGAGAAGGCAGGCTGGCTCCAGTCTACAGTGCTTTGTAGTGGTCTAATCCTGAACTGGTAAAAGCATGAAGTGCCTGTTCCCTTTAGTTTAATAAGTAAACTAAGTAGACTACCACGCCGTAAAAATACTCTTTTACAAGAGTCCTGTTAAGAAATGATGTGAGTATAATCAGGAAATATATTAAATATCAAACATAGAAGTCTCCAGTGACTGATGGTGATTCTTCTTATTATTTAGATATTTTTAAATATATTTTACTGTTGGAGCCGATTTTAACCAGAAATTAATTCATGTTGAAAGCATGGATAGTTAGTTAGTTAGTATGGATCATTCCACTGAATATTTTCTGGATTAACTGAAACTTAAAAAAAGAAAATTAAAGTCAGCATATTACAGTAAAATGTTTAATGTTTACACAATTAGTCAAGTAAATTCTAATTAATTTTCTAACTGATTAGTCAATGGTTGTATATTTGTAAAGTACTTGCAGGTGTTGCATAAACGTACTGCAGTAACATACGTACCTCTCTGAAATGCAGCATAATATTATGTTGAATAAAGTAAAAGGAAATGGAAACAAGTCCACGTGCCTCAAATCACAGGCTACTGATGAGCAGTGCTGGAGTTCAGCTACAATGAAACTCTAGACAGGCCATAACGCCTGACTGCCGCTCCCGGAGGGGGCGCGAGTTGACCAGATGTGCGTGTACGCGCGCACACCACACAGCAGTGTACCGCACATACATGCTCCTCCTCACCCTCCTGATCCTTCTCCGTAACTTAACCCCTCGTTGCCATGGTGACCCGACACACGGGGCCAGGTGCGCTGTTCCTGCTGTCGGACTTTTTGTCAGCTCCTGGGGTTTCTTCATCAGACCTTTG